TGTATGATGAGAACGGTTGTGTTACATATATGAGGTGTATGATGAGAACGGTTGTGTTACATATATGAGGTGTATGATGAGAACGGTTGTGTTACATATATGAGGTGTATGATGAGAACGGTTGTGTTACATATATGAGGTGTATGATGAGAACGGTTGTGTTACATATATGAGGTGTATGATGAGAACGGTTGTGTTACATATATGAGGTGTATGATGAGAACGGTTGTGTTACATATATGAGGTGTATGATGAGAACGGTTGTGTTACATATATGAGGTGTATGATGAGAACGGTTGTGTTACCACCAAAACTGACAGTGCCAGATACCTACAGAGCTACAGATAACATTTTGGGTAATTGAGTTATGTACTCGCTTGTGTTCATCTCAGTGGGGTATCCTAATTTTCCTTTGAGTAAACAAATAAATTGTACCCACCTCACACAAACTCATTTGGGTATTTTGCCATTTTCCATTGATTGTAAAAATCTAATAAAGTTTAAATGTTATTTATATTGGATCTGTAATATGAGAAACGACAAGAAAGACTAAAAGTTGCCAAGTTCATGTGTTGAAATAGAACCTCTGAATATACCTCAGTTTATCTATCCACCGGTACGCAAGCTATGATTAGACATTTTTGTGTGTATGCATGTAACATCACATTTAGTGAGTATTTACAAAAATTCATGCATACTTGTACGCAATAGACTTAATATGTATTGAGTTTTCACATAAATATTTGCGTAATTAATGTGGATACGCAGCTTATCTGTACCTCTGTACCTATCATCTTAGGTTCAAATCGTGATTATGTAAACCCATGAAGATCCAGGTTAGAATTGATCTTCAGTAGCCCATGCTTGTCATAAAAGCCGACAAATGGGTTCGGGTTGTCAGGCTCGCTGACTTGGTTGACACATGTCATGGTTTCCCCATTGTATAGATCGATGCTCATGCTGTTGATCACTGGATTGTCTTGTCCAGACTCAATTATTTACAGACTGCTGCCATAGACTGCTCAAGAAACAAGGCAACACGTTTCGATATTCTTTGCGTGTGGGTGCTTGTGAACCACACGCAGATGTGAGAAAGGGTTTTCAAGTGGAATAGAAATCTAATGGTGTCATTATGGCCTTTCAGAATAAGGTAATATTATTTGAAAGTTAATATTAGTTCAGTAATCAGTTACTGTACATTATACTGTTAAAGAAAACGCCCAGTATTCTCATAACTCAAAGGTTTCCAATGCTGTTGTCTTGAATGTTCATTTGAAGACCATTCATGCCTGTCATCTTGGATCCTTATTGAATATTAAAATAAATATACGAGACAATTAATTCAAGTTCAACAAGTTAATTACATCTTCCAAAGAAATGGCACATTTCATAATAATAATTATTGTATTATATTGATTTTTAAACACCTTTCCCATCATAAATCAGGTCAGAAGAGCCACCCCTTTGATGTTTAATTTTCTGATTATAATAATGTCATTACACTTGGAGGCTATGGTGACTCACTGGGAGTTCTGGGATAGTGGTGAGGGAATTAGTACATATGTCTACAATAGGTACATCTGTAGGTGAGTCAGGTCAATTTTGATGAGGTTGATACATTTCATTCTGGTCAGTGAAGCAGATAATAAAGCAACTTTGTGGCCATGAGATGTGGAAAGATTGGAGACGAGCTTAGCAAAATGATATTGCTTGATTTCATGCAAACATGTGGGATACATCAGTCGGGTAGCTGTAGCATGGTGACTAGTGCTGAGAAATGGGATGTGTTGAATAGAAAGTCCAAGTTATTGATGGTTTTGTTGTCAAGGTCATGTGATGGCTGTTGTCATGAGATGGTGACGCACCAGAGATGAGAGAAAAATATGACTGCTGGATTTTGCATGGACATGGATATATTTCTGTTGAGTAATGAAAACAAGGAATAATATTCTGGAACATATATGTGTTTAATGAAGGTCCTTTGGTTGTTTTGTTGTCAAGGCCAAATGATGGTTCTTGCCTTCAGATGTTGAAGTGTCAGAGATGAGAGAAGAATAAGACTGCTGGATTTTGCACGGGCATGTTGGATATAATTCTGTTGAGAAATGAAAGCAAGGACACAGAATAATATGTGACATGTTTTGAATGAAGGTACTTTGATGGTTTTGTTGTCAAGGCCAAGTGATGGTTGTTGCCTTCAGATGTTGAAGCGTCAGAGATGAGAGAAGAATATGACGGCTGGATTTCATAGAGACCTGTTGACTTGTATTTCTGCTGAGTTACAAACACATGGATGCAGAATGATATTGTGGAACAAAGATTTGTTGAATTGACATCATTGATGGTTTTGTTGTCAAGGTCAAGTGATGGCTGTTATCATGAAATGGTGAAGTGTCAAACATAAGAGGAAAAAAAGACTGTTGGATTTTATACAGACATGTTGGATATATTTCTGTTGAGTAATGAAAACATGGATATTGTGGAGCATATATGTCTTGAATGAGGATTTTTGTGCCAAGTGATGGCTGTTACCTTGAGATGTTCAAAACATCTGAGATGAGAGAGAACAAAAATAATACTGATTTCTTATGACCATGATGGAAACATATCTGTTGAGTAATGAAAACATGGATGAGATGATATTGTGAAACAAAGATGTGTTGAGTCCTTTGAGGTTTGATTATCAAGGCCATGTTGTGTCATGAGAAACATCAGTGATGAGAGAGAAAAATAAAGCTGCTTCATACGAATCTAATGGAAATATATTTGTTGAGTGATGAAAACAAGGACACAATGATTTTTTGGAACACAGATGTGTTGAATACAAAGTCAGTGATGGTTATGTTTTCTAGCCTGTGGGATATCTATAATGGAGACTGCATTACGATGACTGTAACAGATTACCTTTAAGCTTGCTAAAGTTGTTCAGGAAATAAACTGTACAGATGAATGGAGTTTGCTTCCCTTCGGAAGCTGGATATCATATCTGGGATGAATTTTACACACAAGTAAACATTATTTCAGGGATTAATTTCTGTTGACTTTGCATGTTTTGAAATGGTGCCAGTACATGATGCTGATATCCTTACAACTACCTGTGATGTTAGGACACAAGAGTGGAGACAGTTACAAATGTTCTTTAAAGGAAATGTGATTCCTATTTCTGGTGTCTACTCTGTGATATTGATGGAATATTGCATATAGTGGTGTAAAACTAGACTCACTCACTCACTCACTCACCCATGAAGAAAAAGCTTTGGTTCATGAAGTGGTCCAATGCATAATATAAATTAGGATGTCTTTTGTTTTAGAAAGAATAGATAAAAGTAGAAAAATAACAATATTTTTCTCAACGCCATGTTATGTAATTGCAGTTTATCTCTCATTTGATACACTTTTACAAAGCTCATGATCAGTTGATGATGCACTTGTTTTATGTTATTTGTCTCATGCCAAGTAGCATCTTGTGAGATCAAGGAAGTACCCTTCATCGCATGTAGAGATATGGCTTCCACTGAGTACATATGGACGCTGTTAGCAATTATAGTAAATACAGTATATTCTGAACTTGAATTGGTTTCTAGCTTTGTTTCAGTGTTGTAAAGTGAAACTGCAGTGCCAGAGAATAATCAGTCTTGAATATTATTCTGAAACACATTCTGGCTTTAAACGTGAAAGGTAAAAATAAAAGGTAAACATTAATATGGATAGATCATTGAAAATCAATGACGACACCAGGTATTAACAGACAGCATGTCAACTAGTAGCAAATCATACAAAATGGCAGTTTGTGTCATTTGAAACAGGACATAAAATTTGAAATGAAATATTATTTTATTGAGGGCATTTTGATTTAATTGTTATTTTTGAAAATTTAATTAAAACCTATGCATAATATCAAGATATGTTGGTGGTTGTATATTGTGTTCTATAAAATAGTGATGCTTTGTAATAAGGTCTTATGCGAATGTCAGTCGTTCCCTGGTGTTTGTAGAACTTGTTGAGATGATCCATTAATTAGTTACATCTAGAGACGTTACACAAACCTTCAACTGAGAGTAAATACTATCTCTACAGTGGGAGACGTCCAGTGAGGGACATTGTGATGGTATTGAGCTGAAGTGTCCAGAAAATGTCACAAGATGGTGGCAAGATGTGCTACGAATGTCCAGGCGTATTCAGATGTCTGTGTTTGAATAAAACAGGAAATATCTGTTGGGTTTTGTGAAGACTTGTAGATTGGAGGATCTTGTCTGCTTTCTAGTCTTGTTCATTCATCTGAAGAGGTTATATATCTGTGTGTTAGAAGATTACCTTGTGTCAACAAATTGAGATGTTCTGGAAATGATACCAAAATGGCTTCCATGAAATGGTTGCAAAGTAAACTCTTACAGGTACCAATTTGGGGATTACATTGTGATAGGATACTCAGTCATCCAAACTGTGGCACCAGTTGAAGTTTCAGCCATGAAGGAACTTGGTTCTCTGGAATATGGACAGTGTCTCATCTCTGTTGTGTACAGCAACATTGTTGTGTCTCATTTGAAATATCCATAAGTGACAGTGTCTCCTCAGCAAAGCGTGTCTAATTGTCTAAATTTATCAACCAATGACAGTGTCTCATTTTTGTTGTGTATAACAATGAAAGTGTGTCTCATTTGAATTATCCAACCAATGACAGTGTCTCATCAGCAAAGTGTGTCTCATTTGAATTATCTTTCAGTGACAGTGTTGTGCACATCTGGAACATGTGTCTCATTTGAATTTATCAACCAAAGACAGTGTCTCATTTTGGTTGTGTAAAGCAACAATGTTGTGTCTGATTTGAACTTCTCCATCAAAGACAGTGTTTCATTTGTGCTGCATATGACGAGACTGTTGTGTCTGACATTAATTTCTCCATCAAAGACAGTGTCTCATTTGTGCTGTACATGTCGAGACTGTTGTGTCTGATATTTATTTCACCTCCACTGACAATGTCTTGTTTGTGTTGTGTACAGTTGAGTGGCCGCGATGAGACGCACCTGAAGACATTGTACGTCGATGCTGCGATGGAGTACAAGGTCAGCAGCTACCGCGTCATCGTTGAGTCCACCAAGTCCATCCTCAAGCTGGACAATGGCAGCCCAACTGTCACCAAGTCATTTGAAAACATGTTTGAAAAATATGAGTCTGTGGATCCGTCGGCACAAAAGCCAGAGGGTGAGTAAGCATGGAACATTTCCGGATCTTATGTTAATTACAAGAAGCTACAAGCCATCATGATGAATGAAAAAATATCTGAACAAAATTATCCTCTCCCTTTCTCTCTCTCCTTCTCTCTTTCCTGCTCTCTCCTTTCTTTCAGATTCTCTTTCATATTCATTCATTCATTCATTGATTCATTCATTCATTCAGCAGGGTTTATATGATTCATGTTGAATGAACATTTTTTTACACAAAACATGTTATTTTCTCTCTCTCTCTCTCGGTGGGCGTAGCCCAGTGGTTAAAGCGTTGGCTCGTCACGCCGAAGATCCCGGGTTCGAATCCCCACAGGGGTACAATGTGTGAAGCCCATTTCTGGTGTCCCCCACCGTGATGTTGCTGGAATATTGCTAAAAGCGGCGTAAAACCAAACTCAGTCAGTCAGTCTCTCTCTCTCTCTCTCATGTTTCTTTCATTCATGTTCACTCTCATACTCACTTTTCATTCATTTACTCCCACCTTTCATTCATTCATTCATTCACTCACTCACTCACCACCACCACCACCACCACCCCCCCACACACACTTACTAACTCACTCACTCACTCACTGAGCAGAGTTTATATGCCTCCTACTATTCAGTTTGCTAAGTGTATTATGGAGAATATCCAACCAGCTTTGAAGAATTAGGGATCACCAGTCCAGTGTGAAGGAATGTAATCCTCAAGCCTTTCCTTTCACAAGCCAAGCCCTTTGCTAGACTTTCATTCATTCACAAGGGTGGTGGGGTAGCCTAGTGGCTGCTCGTCACGCCAAAGACCTAGTTTCGATTCCCCACATTGTTACAATGTGTGAAGTCCATTTCTGGTGTCCCCAGCCGTGATATTGCTGGAATATTGCTGAGCATGGCGTAAAACTAAACTATGGAGTTTCCAGTATCCTAAACTTGTTCTGTTGGGTTTGTTGTCACAGATACTACATGCACTACAAACATACCGGTACTCCAAGTACACCTTTCTGTATTACGGTACAAAAATGTACCAACTGTTGAAGATTCAGATTCATCTGGCTTTCAGCAACCCATGCTTGTCACTAGAGACACCTAATGGGACCGAGTGGTCCAACTTCGTTGATGCATGTCATCGAATTGCAATTACGTAAATCGATGCTCATGACATCACTCACTGGATTGTCTGGTCCAGATTTTTTTTCTCTATTTCTCTTTTTTGGTACAGATGTGATCAACGGCCCCTGGTACAACATTGATTGGTCCTTTACACAAGTATATAGATATAGGGTATTGCAGAGATGTACATGAGGTAGTTCACTTTACTGTAGCATGTCTAAGCTGCGAGTCATGGTAAATACAACAGGCCAAATTTCTAACAACAGATGTTTGGTTAAAAGACATGAGCATATTATATTTCATTACCTACAAGGGCGAAAATATCGGGGTTCATATTTTTCATACGATGCCCTAGGGCAAAATATCACTTTGTCATGGTGACGTGACGTCATGAACAATGCTATGACGTCATGTTTCTTCTGTGACGTTGCGTTCTACATGCGATGACGGCAGGTAGCCTGCCTATGTTTGAAAGTAGATTTGGGTTTATTTACCTCAATTTGACGACTTCGGTAATAAACAAAATATTATATTCGTGCCCATATCATACTATGTTTACTACACTCGTGGCTAAATATCGGCATATCCCTCGCTCTCGCTCAGGAAATACCAACATTTAGGCCCTGTGTCGTAAACATAGTATGTCACAGGCATACATATAATATCCTCTATTTGTCACAGTAGGATATTCATAATATTTCATTGAATTGCAATTGTATAGATCGATGCTCATGACATCACTCACTGGTCCAGAATTAATTACAGTTTGCCATCACTAGCTGGTATGTTTCTGACTGCGACATTAATAGAAAATTTAATTAAGAGTTCAGTACAGATGTATCACAACAGGTTCGTCCACAAAGCGATCTAAGATGATCATAACTCCTGCACTTTAGCGTAGGCTTACGTTAGTCCTAAGCTCAGGCTAAGTGGAACGGACCCTCGTCACTCAAGACGGAAATGATCAGATGTCTCAAAACATCTCTCAACTCTTTACCTTTTGCACCGCATGTCTGGAACTAAATGTGGCTGATTTCACACCTCTCTTCCAAACATCAGCATGTGAGTGCCAGTCACTTTGATGCCCGGAGATAAAAGTGAACAATTACACATCAAGCAGATCTGTTTCTGTTCCCTTCATCGCTATAGTTACAAAGAACTCACCGCTTCCCTGTTGACTTTGAAATGATTTTGGTAAAGGGAGGTCTGCATCAGCATGGAGGAACTACTAATTAAAGGCCTTCAATTGTTATGAAGAGCAATTAATATTTCTTGCTGAAGGAATATCAAAAATTTATAAAAGAATTTCTGTTTATTGGCTATTTTTTGTGCATAGAGCCTTGCTTTAGTAACAGGCACTTTATGATTAAGTTCAATGAAAATAAGTTGAAAAAAGACCAAAAAATCTTTAATAAAATAAAAAAAATTATTATTTGTCTTGTAATGCCATAATGATACTTTGACTGGAGTGAGTGAGTTTAGTTTTACGCCGCTTTTAGCAATATTCCAGCAATATCATGGTGGGGGACACCAGAAATGGGCTTCACACATTGTACCTTTGTAGGGAATAGAACCGGGTCTTCTGCATGACGAGCGAATGCTTTAACCACTAGGCTAGCCACCACCCCACTTTCACTGAAGTTATTATAGGTGAGGTTCAGCACAGTGTGAATGGATTTTCATCATCATCATCATCATCATCATTGTCGGTAACATCTTGTGATTACAACCACCATAACAACCTCCATTACCAACCCCATCGTCGTCGTCATCATCATCATCATCATCATCATCATCATCATCATCATCTTCATCATCATCATTTTGACATACATACCGGTAGATATATGAATATGGTAGCAGAGTTTTGCCTACTGCTACTGTTCCACCTTCAGCTAAAGCACTGACCCGAGTGTGGGCAGGTATGTTGTCTACGTATGTTAGCAGGTGTAACAATGCCCCTCCCCTGCTGCCCCCTAGTGGCAGACATGCTGTGCGGTCTCATCTTTCGGCTGGCATTTACCCACGCACACTGAGGAAAGTCGGTGAGCACCGCTTCTTGTCAGGGTGCAGATCCGATGGCGCCAGTGACATGGCACCAGATGGAACATGCTACATTGGTTTGGTATTCTGTTATCACGCCAGAAATATCACGGACATTTGAATGAACCAAGGTCGTTCGGTGAGGTTCAGTAAATACGATGCTTTGTCATATATACATGTACCTTGATGCGGATGAGAGGCTGTTGGAAGTGGGTCAGGAATCACTTGAGTGGATGAGAAAGGAGTCTAGACAGTTGTGGAAGTGGATGAGCAACCAGTCTAGAAGTTGGAGTTGAAACAGTCTAGAGGGTGGCAGAAGTGGGAGAGGAAACAGTGTAGTAGGGTGGATGCGGGTAAGGAACCAGTCTAGAGGATGGAAGCAGGAGAGGAACCAGTTTAGAGGATGGAAGCAGGAGAGGAACCAGTCTAGAGGATGGAAGCAGGAGAGGAAGCAGGAGAGGAACCAGTCTAGAGGATGGAAGCAGGAGAGAGGAACCAGTCTAGTGGATGGAAGCAGGAGAGGAACCAGTCTAGTGGATGGAAGCAGGAGAGGAACCAGTCTAGAGGATGGAAGCAGGAGAGGAACCAGTCTAGAGGATGGAAGCAGGAGAGGAACCAGTCTAGAGGATGGAAGCAGGAGAGGAACCAGTCTAGAGGATGGAAGCAGGAGAGGAACCAGTCTAGAGGATGGAAGCAGGAGAGGAACCAGTCTAGAGGATGGAAGCAGGAGAGGAACCAGTCTAGAGGATGGAAGCAGGAGAGGAACCAGTCTAGAGGATGGAAGCAGGAGAGGAACCAGTCTAGAGGATGGAAGCAGGAGAGGAACCAGTCTAGAGGATGGAAGCAGGAGAAGAACCAGTCTAGAGGATGGAAGCAGGAGAGGAACCAGTATAGTGGATTGAAGTGAGTGAGGATCCAGTCTGGATATTTGTGGAAGTAGATAAGGAACCAGTCTAGTGGGTGGTAGAAGTGGATGGGAAACCTGTTTAGAGGATGGAAGAGGGTGAAGAACCAGTCTAGTGGATTGTGGGAGGTACTATTCTAGGCGGCCATGTAAGTGGATGAGGATGCAGTCAAGAAATGGTACAAATACTTGGCAGATGAGTGTAATCCTCCTGTCTGTACCATGAAAAATATCTAGCTTCACTCTTGCCAGAAGTTGTCATCAATGGGGTGCAGGCTGTGGAAACTGCACTGCATGTCAGATTTACATTTCAAACATGAGGGGAGGCCAACTGGCTCTTCCTCGTGCTCCTGCAGGCCCAGTCCTCCATCAGTGATGTCTAAGATTTGATTCCTTGAAAGTGATACAAGGTTGAGTAGTTAACAGTCTGCCAGTTCGATGTTCCAGTGTTTTACTCCCTTCCGAATTTAAACATTAGAGTCAAGCATACAGCATAGCGATCTCGCTGTTGATGATTTGCTTGAAGTCACAGAAACAAGTTCACCTGTTGAGATATATGCAATAAATAAAGTAGATGCAAACTGGGCATCAGATCTGGAGGAGAGACCTGTAGCATTTCACTCGCTCACAATAATCCATGCACAAACATGCCGCCACTCACCGGGGATGTGAAATGATATTCACTTCTTTCAGCCATTTTTTACATGTCCAATGTTTATCGATAATTTATCGATATTTAGTTAACGATCATCGAACTCTATGGTCTATATCGATAGTAACCCTAGTAACAGGAAGTACCAACTTTTGGTGTCTTTTGGATGACACAGCCAGGGCATCATCCAGCCACAGACCTCAAGCTGTCCAGTCACTGTCCACTTGACCATCAAATGAAAACAACAAGAGCTAAAATATAAAATATTACATTCGGGTTATTGTTTAACATCCACATCTTTACGTGAATAATAGCATATGGAATTGTTCATTTCTGCCAAAATGAGGCCGTCTGCCACCGATAAGGGTCCCACCATAGCTGCAAGGCAGAGATGTTTCAGGTGAAGTCAAGGTGAAACAACACCGTCGACGGCACGTAAACGGACTGGATGCTATCCGAGATGACATCACACGTTCCAGATTGGCGTGGTGAATGTACGTCAGACAGTGTAGGTGGATGCTGGTCATGAGCACAGGAAGCGTGCCGTGAAGAGCGTACGATTGTTTCTCTTCTATCTATTAACTCGGCACTGGTATTTACTCTCAAAGCAAAGGGTAGAGAAACAGCTTGGAGCTCTACTTTATCGCCTTTTTGTATCAGTTTATGACAGCCTGAATCAATACAGGAGCATGGGCAGGATAGGAAAGCATTTTATCTTTGACTGGAAAGAAGAGAAATATTTACCTGTGCTGGTGTGTTGAGAGCTGAAGGGAATTAATAGAAGTTGTCTACTTGATTTGTGTCCCAGTTCCTCTTGACCTTTGTATTTTCATAGATTTATCTAGAGCTGTCATGGGGTGGTGGGTAGATAAGTGGTTAAAGCGTTCACTCATCACACCAAAGGTCCGGGTTCAATTCCCCCCATGGGTACAATGTGTGAAGCCCATTTCTGGTGTCCCCTGCTGTGATATTGATGGAATATTGCTAAAAGTGGCATAAAACTAAACTCACTAGAGTTGTTAGAGGCTGTCGCTTTCAAAACCCCAGTTAATGGTAGAGCTAATCTATACACTAGGAAACATGTAAATCAGGACTCATCCATTTGTATATATGTATTACACAAAAAGTCATCAGCTCTTTATTCCATTACTGAAGAGGCCACAGGCCTACAGTACAAGGTATGAGAACAATAATGGCATACAATCACAATGTTTGCAAACGTTGTTTTCTATGTTCAAAAGCATGGTGGATATACATACCAAGTTTACGAATATAAGTTGTATTATTACAGTTTATTATCAAATTAAATTTAAACATGGTAGGATATGAATAGTAATATTGTGGTAGACATTTTGTCCTTAAATCAGCATAGTAAGGACATACCAGCAAAAAGTGGAACTCATCTTCAATTACATTTAGTGCACAAAATTTGCACAATCTGTTTTCTCTTGGAATATTATAATATCTGCCCTTCTCGGTCATAAGATCATGTGAAGAGCATCTAAATCTGGATAATGAAACGTGGAATTTTCTAAGATTAATATCGTGGAGGTATTGCTCTGTATGGAAAAAGGATTTAAAAGTACTGTAAAAAGTGGATTTGGGCGACTGTATTAAAGATGAATTCCAGGTCTGAATGTACATATCTTTTACATATAACCAAATAACCTATAGTTATGGAGAAGAATCAGCTGGTCCTTAAAATAAATTATTTATTTGTTTGTTGGGTTTTTGTTTGTTTGTTTAATGTCACACTTAGCAATATTCAAGCTATATGGCAGAGGTCTGTAAATAATCGAGTCTGGACCAGACAATTCAGTGATCAACAGCATGAGCATCGATCTGCGCAATTGGGAACCGATGACATGTGTCAACCAAGTCAGCGAGGCTGACACCCGATCCCGTTAGTCGCCTCTTATGACAAGCATAGGTTACTGAAGATCAATTCTATCCTGGATCTTCACCTCTTTTGAGAAGTATTCTTCCTGAATTTCCATGTATATTGGGAAACATGTGACACAGATCTCGCTTCGATAAATACCACAAATACCAGCAGAAACATATGTATGTTATTCCAGGTGGACATATTTACAGGTGATATGAAGAGCTGTGGAAGCAGCTGAACGGGGATATAAATATATATATATTCATGAAACAGTTATGAAACATATCATTAGCTAATGGACATTGGTTAGTGTATTTCGGTATGCACATGTCACATATGTAAACAACACCATATTAATGTTGCAGAATATTTGAACAGAATACAGTTTTAGACACTGGTATTATGCACTGCAACAGATACTGTACAGCTAAACACTTTTATAGGTGTATGACTGAGATGAATAGTACTGCAAGTTAGACCCGACTTGTATTTGTGTTATAAAGACTTATCACTGTCAACACATGGCCTGTTAACATCAATTCACCATCTGCCAACTTACCATACATCATACTAATGTATTCATGCTTTTCACCATTCCATTCATCGACTATCAGATTGATCCATCTATCCAACAGTGTTACTCCCTATAATTCATAATCCATCCATCTGCTCATCCATCCACTTCTCTGACCATCAGTCCATCCGTTCATGATCCATCTATCCATTCACCAAGCCAAGTGGTTGAGGCGTTCACTCATCACACCAAAGACCCGGGTTCGATTCTCCACATGGGTTCAATGTGCGAAGCCCATTTCTGGTGTCCCCCGCCATCATATTGCCTTAATATTGCTAAAACCGGCGTAAACAAAACTCACTCACTCATTATGTCAGTTGGGTAATTTCAGGAGGTGGGGGTGGGGATTATTAAGTGGATATTAAAAGTTCTTACAATCATAGTAACTGTGATATGCTTATGTCGGCTTCCACCCACCCAATCAGTGATCTGAGCATATACAATTCCCATGCTCTTATCACTTACATCAACCGGCCGCCATTGTTTTCAATATGAAAGGCCTCAAAGAGACTCTGTGTGCTGTGGTTGAACTGTCAAATCTAGTGCTTTGCCTACTTTCAGTCAACTCCTCAAGACCACAGTGTTCCGTCCATCTCTTACACAAACACATTACCACATGATGATGTACATTTAGGAAATGTAATCAACACTGTGACTTAACTATTTGGTGAGAGCATCTCACATTTGCTTGCAATCTGCCCCGAATATGGATAGTTATGTTTGACCACTACACTGTCATTGGCCCTGAACAAGGATACAAATATCTATAATCTTGGCTCAATGCCATAAAAGGTCATTCAGTTGATAAAAGAATTTTTCTTTCACCTGTAACTTTTGTTTACCTGTCAAGGTGCAAATTAAGAGCAGGCCGAACAATTGTATGAAAGCTGACTTGAGCCTTGAAGTTCGTGTAAACTCTAGCATGGGCTCTCTCGGTGTTGACAAACTTCATAGGCCTTTTACAACTGTTATTTACTTTTTTGCAGTCCGTCATTAAGAAAATAATCAAACTGGATTTTATATTTTTCTCGGCTCTAGATCCGCGGTTTCGGCTTGCGGAAGAGCTACTGCAGACGGAGCGGGATTACTGTAGCAGCCTGCAATGCATCTTTGACTGCTATGCGGAACCACTCAGGTGAGTGCATGTCTTCATTGTCCCTATAGATCATCTTCAATCTTTTTTAGCGAAGAGAAAACTTGTTTTCAGCTGTGGTTATTCCTGTTGAGGAATTTTGAGTGATTCTTTAATTTTCTCAAAATGGCTAAGGGTTGTTATTGGTTCTTGTTATTGGCTAGAATAATTGTAGTCACTTAGATTTGGAATGCTGATTAAGAATTTGTGTGTTTCGAAAAGGAAATTGTGGTTTTTGTACTGGTCAATTATGTGAATATATTCCTGATTTTTGTTCTTGAATAGCATGTGGAATGTTTTTGTAAAGATAAGTATTTTGGGGGTCTTTTTAGAATAAAATAATTTTGGTTTGAAGTTTGTGGTACCAGACTAAGCTCCTCATCGAAATAGCTGCCTCACAGTTAGGTGTTCCTTTAGAAGGTCAACTTGGCACACACAAACCATCCCCCTGCATGCCCAACACACACTCTCCCCGCACCCCAACCCAGCATTCCAAGCTATCTGCAATCCTTCCCAGGCCCTTCCCCCCCATACACACACCCTCCCTCTCCACCTTATCTCCCACTTTCTATAATTCCCACTCTAATTTCCACCTTACCTGCTCACTGTCTCAGCAATGATGAAAACATGCAAGCTTGTTCCCTGCTTCCCAATTATCATACACCTACCCCCTCCCCAGCTACCACAAACTACCATGCCCCACCAGCTTCTGGTGCTCTCCCCTCCCAACCTACGAATAACTACCTTTTTGACACCAGCTTCTGGGGCTTTCCCCAACCCCAACCCCATAACTACCTTCCTTACCCACCACTCATGGATGCTGGGGCTTCCCAACCCCTCCCCCACCTACACTAATAACTACCCCTGCCCCACCACCTAATGGATCCTACCTTACTCCCTCCTCTCTCCCCACCCACCACAAACTATCCTGACCCAGACAGCTAATGGATCCTACCTTTCCTCCCTCCCCCCCACCTACCACAAACTACTCCTGACCCACCAGCTAATGGATCCTACCTTCTCCCTCCCCACCTACCACAAACTACCCTGACCCACCAGCTAATGGATCCTACCTCCCTCCCTCCCCCACCTACCACAAACTACCCTGACCCAACAGCTAATGGATCCTACCTTCCCTCCTCCCTCCCCACCTACCACAAACTACCCCTGACCCAACAGCTAATGGATCCTCACCTTCCTACCTCCCCCCCACCTACCACAAACTACCCTGCCCCAACAGCTAATGGATCCTACCTTCCCTCCTCCCTCCCCACCTACCACAAACTACCCTGACCCACCAGCTAATGGATCCTGCCTTCCCCTCCTCCCCCACCTCCCCCCACCTACCACAAACTACTCCTGCCCCAACAGCTAATGGACCCTACCCCAACAGCTAATGGATCCAACCTTCCCCTCCCACCTACCACAAACTACCCTGACCCACCAGCTAATGGATCCTACCTTCCCTCCCCACCTACCTCCTCCACCTACCACCTACACTGCCCCAACAGCTCCTACCACAAACTACCCTCCCACCCTAATGGATCCTACCTTCCCCTCCCCACCTACCACAAACTACCCTGCCACCAACAGCTAATGGATCCAACTTCCCCTCCCCACCTACCACAAACTACCCTGCCCCAACAGCTAATGGATCCAACCTTCCCCTCCCCACCTACCACAAACTACCCTGACCCACCAGCTAATGGATCCAACCTTCCCTCCTCCCCACCTACCACAAACTACCCTGACCCACCAGCTAATGGATCCTACCTTCCTCCCTCCCCACCTACCACAAACTACCCTGCCCCAACAGCTAATGGATCCAACCTTCCCTCTCCCCACCTACCTACCACCTACCTGACCCACCAGCTAAAACTACCCCCCACCTACCACAAACTACCCACCCACCAGCTAATGGATCCAACATTCCCTCCCTCTCCCACCTACCACAAACTCCCTGACCCACCAGCTAATGGATCCAACCTTCCTCTCCCCACCTACCACAAACTACCCTGCCCCACCAGCTAATGGATCCTAATTCCCTCCTCCCCTTCCTCCCTGACCCACCAACCACAAACTACCCTGCCCCCTACCACCAGCTAATGGAGCCCACCCCTAGGACCCAGCCCTCCCCCCCACCCCAGCCACCTCCACATCTTGTTGCCATCTTCCTGTATCCCCACTGTTGGCAGGTGCCCAGCAAGCTTCGTGTTGTTTGAGGATGATGAAACTGAACAGTGACAACAACAAACTTGCTGTAGGCAGTACCTGATATATCTGCCAAAGACAAAAAGGGGTGTTAAGATCTATAAACCACATGCGGGAACATTTCAGGAATAGAACATGGCACATCTTCAAAGATGTTTCAGAGATAATGGACCCACAACTCATTACAGCCACCAAAAGAACAATATAATTAAGATTCAAATCTCAGGATTTTTTTCTTTTATCCTAAGAAATTGAATTCTTTACCTGATAATATTTATAAATACTTATAATTCTCTGATACGAACAATCAGCAGAGGTAATTGTCTTCTTGCTCACATAGCTGTTTGTTCAGTCACATCTCATTTGAGAATATTTCCTCAACTTGGCAACCTTTAGGTGCTTCCATGGAAGAATGTGTTTCAGTACCCTCTACATGTCACAAAAGCCCTGGGAGCGGTGGGGTAGCCTAGTGGTTAAAGCATTCACTCATCACACCGAAGACTCGGGTTCGATTCCCCACATGGGTACAATGTGTGAAGCACATTTCTGGTGTCCCCTGCTGTGATATTGCTGGTATATTGCTTAAAGCAGTGTAAAACTAAACTCACTTGCTCACAAAGGCCCTCTATGGTGGACAAGATGTAGTCTTTCACCTTTCTCATTGTGGGTCACCATGCCCTTGAGGCCTGGAGAGTTGCTCATGCTTTCAGTCACTGGGTTGACTAGCCCAGCCAAATGTTTCTGGCCACCGGGATACATGTCGATTATATCTGACTGGATAGAAGAACACACACTCATTTACTCACTCATACAACCCAATTACACAACCACTAACTAAACAACCCAATTACACAACCACTAACTCGACAACTCAACAACCCAATTACACAACCACTAACTCAACAACCCAATGACACAACCAACTAACAACCACACTTTAACAACCCAATTACACAACCACTAACTCAACAACCCAATGACACAACCACTAACTCAACCACTCAACAACCCAATTACACAACCACTAACTCAACAACCCAATTACACAACCACTAACTCAACAACCCAATGACACAACCACTAACTCAACAACAGCAAGTTGACACAACTCAATGAACACAATTACACAACCATTAACTCAACAACCCAATGACACAACCCTAACTAACTCAACCACTTAACAACCCAATTACACAACCACTAACTCAACAACTCAACAACCCAATTACACAACCACTAACTCAACCACTCAACAACCCAATTACACAACCACTAACTCAACAACCCAATGACACAACCACTAACTCATCCACTCAACAGCCTAGTTACACAACCACTAACTCAACAACCCAATTACACAACCATTAACTCAACAACCCAATTACACAACCACTAACTCAACAACCCAATTACACAACCACTAACTCAACAACCCAATTGGGGTGGTGGGGTAGGCTAGTGGTTAAAGCGTTGGCTCGTCGTGCCGAAGACCCGGGTTCGAATCCCCACATGGGTACAATGTGTGAAGCCCATTTCTGGTGTCCCCCGCCGTGATGTTGCTGGAATATTGCTAAAAGCGGCGTAAAACCAAACTCAGTCAGTCAGTCAACAACCCAATTACACAACCACTAACTCAACAACCCAATTACACAACTACTAACCTAACAGCCTAATTACACAACCACTAACTCAACAACCCAATTACACAACCACTAACTCGACCACTCAACAACCCTCTAGTTTACAAGGATGCACTCCACAGCAAGAAACTTGTAATCTGCCTCTGAAGATCTTTTTAGATCTTTAATAAAAACAATAATCCAAAATCAAGTTTCTAAAAATGCATATATGAATTTTGTGAAGATGTCTTACTTGTAACACAATCAATGTAGCGCTCGGCCATTAATTATTCATGCTATATTATGAGAATAAAGTTAACGTTTGAAAGAAATCTCATTCTAAAATCCAATCACAAAACTGACAAACACCTTCATTAAGGATTCTTAAAGATTGAAAGTAAATACAACTGTCAATGTATGTTCAGCCGACAAATTGTATATATACAGTTGTTACATTGATGACTACAGCAAAACCTAATAATCTTACATGCTCTGTTAAGCCCAATTAATAATATCTTTGCGGCAATGTTTAATAAAATCTATTTTATTTCTGGTTGTTTTATCCATCTGAAACATCTTCAGAAATTCTGTACTGTTATTTATTGAAAGCAAGCACTAGAAAAACAATTGAGTGAACAAAATAATAAAATAATTAGTTGTGCATACTATCTTCATGACAACACATTGGTTACATCTTTCCTGCAATGTTTTATAGAATCCTTTTTATTTCTCTTTTTTTATCCATTTGAAGCATCTTCACAAAGAATGAAATGCAAATAAGTGAAAAACATAAAACATGCAGATGTGTATACTATTTTCATGACAACACATTTTTTTTACATTTTTTTTTCTTCCAACGTGAGACTCCATCTCGACTATGACCAAGCTCCACCTTGACTCTGTCCAGGCTCCAGCTTGGCTCCAAGTGCAAGTGAGGGTAGCTGGTGTTCACAGCAGGGGAGGCGTGTATTATGCTCCAGTGCTATTGTGTTTGGCAAAATTCCTAAAGTTAGCTCTCTAAATAATGCCTGTGTACCATTCTTCAATTTAGCACCTGTTTATCAAATGATCAATCTCTCACATATTTGCTGTTCTCTTTTTGTAGTGTCAGGTTAATTAAGAGCAAATGTTTTCTTGTTTTATCATCAATTTATAGAATGTGTTTTTTAGCGT